GAAAAAAGCTGATTCAGAGAAAGCCGCCGAGATTCTATTAGATGTATGGAATTCAGCGAGGCTCATGACAGAGATCCATCGGTCGCAAACGGTTGCCGGCCGAGCGTGTATCCTCCCGACCCTAACAAAGAATTTTGCTGACGCTCTCAACAAACGTGAAGCTGACGATTTCCTACTTGAAGTGAAATTGGGGGATAAGATTAACCAACTCCAATCTAATGACAAACTCGGGAAGGAAATGAGGAGTAAAATGCCTAAAAGACCCCAATCGATCCCGGGAAGCTGGAAGAACTCGTCGACACCCCACAAGCCGACGAATCAGACGAGCTACAAAGTCAAACCACAAGCGAAGTCAGCCGCTCCAAGGACATCATCAAAGACATCAGCCTTCCCGAAATCGTCCCACTTCCACAACAAAGGTCCCCGCCCCAGCCGTCGTTTTTAACTCCAGATCAAACTAATGTTAACAACCAGGTACTGAAACTTGCAGCCGACAGTTCATTTCAGAAAAACTGGAAACGAATAATAGCTGATAAGTTGATCCATCAATATGTTGGGGGGTACACCATCGCGTTCGAGGAAATACCTCGCCAGGACTCAGTCCCCGTTCAGTCATGGTCGTCAACAGAATTGATTGATATTTCCACGGAAATTGAGAAGTTGCAGAGCGTGGATGCTATTGAGCTTTGTCACCCATGCCCTTATCAGTTTATTTCCACTTACTTTCTTATCCCCACGCCGGGAGGGGGAAGCAGATTCATCCTGAATCTCAAGAAGTTAAATTCATTCATTAAAACAGAGCATTTTAAATTAGAAGACTTGAGATCCGCTTTGAAACTGTTAAGGATATTATGGCGGGGTCGGCATGTAGGAGGTGAGGCGGAGGGGAATCTATTGTTCTCCTGCAGAGAACCAATCACTGAACAAAAAAAACCTCATTTTTCAATCAATTAATTTTATCATATTTGAGGAGTTCTATGACAAAATTAATTATTTCATATCTTTATTATTTATTCTTGATATGTAAAACCCATCTAATAATTTTTTCAAACCTTTTTTGTGATTGAATAAAAATGATTTAATGATGTGGAAAAAGTGGCAACTTCGGAACTAGCGATAATTTTGATGAGCAGAGTTGACACCGAACCGATATATTCAGCTGAGCTTAGTTTGTTAGTTTGTTAGTTTTTTAGTTTGTTCTCTTGTAAAATGGTAATTTATCTTCCGTTACAATACTAAAATCATAGTGTTTGACGATTGTCTTCATTATAAGTGACCTTCCTCCATTGCGTGATATCGCGAGTGGTGCTCCAAACAGTTCTGTTCTTCCAGGGTTTAACCTCAACAAATATTTTATGACAAAGCCATGTATACCTGGAGAGGCAAACGCTTAACATTGAAGCAATACAATGCAAGGCTAATCCATCAAAATAACGGGTTTAAGCGAAAAAAAAAATCATCCAGGTGGTGAACAGCTAACAACCACTGATACTGGTGAGCTACAGGAGTCAAGAAAAATTGCATGTGTGAGTGACTCACCAAGGAGTATCAAAATAATGCAGCCAAATGACACTGAGAAAGAATCTTTCGCTGCGACTCTCGAATGTAGACCTGGAGCAGGCCGTCGTATTGTCGAATTGGAGTTTTTAGGTCGGCAAATGTGGTGCACGTACTCTAAAGATGCATTGTCTTTTCAGTTCATTGAGGGTGAAATGCGCCATGGATTGTGTTCTGCCTTGACAATCAGATAAGACAAATGCTTATTGCAAAATGAAATATCGACGAGCAAAAGTCACAGTGGTAGGAACAAACGCGCAACACGGTACGATGTAAATACGAAAAGTGCTCTAGGTATGAGAAATTTCTATTGTACATATAAAATATAGGAAGAGCTTTTTTAATTCGTGCTTTATGTATTTTTTTTAACTTTTTTCAGGGGCTCGCCACGCTCGATTAGGCTGGACTCATGTGGATAAATTTCTTTCCTGCATGAATATACCCTGTTATAACTTTAAAATCTACAAGAGACATGAAACCGAAGTTGGAGTAGCAGGTGAAGCAGTTGCAAAGGAAAGTTGCGAAAACGCAACAGAGTTGGAGAGACAGATCACCGTGGAACGGATGGATGTTCTTCAGAAATCCTTGTAAACGTTTTTCCTAATTTAAATACCAATAACTAAGTGTACGAATGAGTTAACTTTATGCAGCACGCAGGCTGGGTTTCGATGAAGATCATAAGGATGATATTATTGAAAAACCCCCGACCTGGCGATTTTGACTTTGCTCATGCTTTATCACTCTAGTTGTTTTGCTGTACACAACCCACGCTTAAAAAAAAAACCGATGGAGATCCAAAAATCTCTATCCTAAATATATGAACGATTCATGATTAATATCTTTTGGGTGATATCTAGAATAGAAAAACTAATTTATAATCTGCTAATGATAATAACTGACGCACTCGATATATTATATTATTTTCATTAATAATTGGTTCTCTATGTAAAAGAACAGTCATTTATTTTATTTATTAAGCGGCGACAGTAGCCACGCGGGCGGTGTGTGACTCCGGCGATCACCCAAGCTAAGCAACGCTCAATTGGGTTAGTACTTGGATGGGTGCCCGCTTAGTCACACCCATCGGCGTGGAGACTGCCGCCGTCAGGCACGGGTGCGGAGAGCTGGTGTGTTCACCGAGTCAGTGTGACTGATGAACACAGCAGAATCCCCGCAGTACCGGCCGGCTGCGCTACTGAGGTTTTACATGGTTTCCCTCAGTACACACGCCAAATGGGCGCAGTACAGAAAAGTCGGCCCATGCTACCGCAAAAATAAGGAGAGGATAGTAGGAGAGGCTAAAGGCTAAGACGAAGGGGCGCCTATCAAACCATGGTAACAATGGTAATAGGAAGAAGGAAAATGTAAAAATAAAAAAAAATAAATATTTTATTTATTTATCCAGGATATCTTTAGAGAAATTTTTAATTAATAATTCAATTACATGAATAAATCTACTAGATTTTATTATTCTCCATATTTTATATGGATATTCAATGTATTTTTCCCAGGTTTTAATTTCTGGAATGATTTCACTTTGATGAAAATGCCTTAATAATATATTTTTGAATACATTCCAATATTACTTTTATTCAAGTATGCAATTGTGTACTGTTAAGGGTATTGTTTTTCTATCCTTTGTATCAGCAAAACGCAAATTCATTTTTTTTAATGCAATTAGTATTTTTTTTATTGACGTTCAACATTTTCTATCTCATTCTACCGACCAGAAGATTACAGTTACGGCTTTATAATAAAGAAACGATCTGTGGATTCAACGAATGATCTCGATGAAGGGAAATCAGACTCTTCAAGGAAACCTGTTACTTTTGATGATGTCATTCGATTGATGGTTTCATACGACATGGGCTAGAGTACAAGAGGATCTGATCGTAGTTATGACAGTTTGAATGGTTTTGGTGCAATTATCGGTAATTTCTCTGGAATGGTCCTAGATTATTCTACGTGTAATCGGAGGTGCAGTAAGTGTCAGCGTACTAATAATTGTTCTGAACATGACTGTCGTTTGAATTTTTTTGGCTTAGCCAAAACAATTGAGCCTTATATAGAGAGAAAGCTGGTAGTAGAGAGTGAAATATTGAAATCAAAGAAGGCTGAGGTTGGGATTTTGGTAGGTGATGATGAAAGTTCTACTGTCATAAATAAAAAATAACTATACACATTGGAAAAGAGTTGTAAAGAGTTGACAAAGGATAGAATTCATTATCTCCACCGGTGTTTTACATTCGCTGTTGCCCAAAATAGAGGCAATAGCTCTGCTATGGCAGTAGAAGCATCCCACAGCATGCATTCAACGATCAGAGCATTTGCGGTTCATGGTGTGGATATCATGAAGAACAAGAAAACTACGACCATTCTTCTGTTCCTGGAGGCTTCACTGATAAAAAAATATATGAAGAATTAACAAAAATCTTTGATAAATTAGCAGCCAATGCTGAGAAGCTTTCTATGGGAGCGTCTAGCAACCGGAACAAAAGTCTCAATGCTACTATAGCCAGTAAATGCCGAAAGCAGCGTTGCTACAGTCAAACTGCATCAGCGGACTATAGAGTGAGTTTCTCAGTTAGACAGAAAAATCTCGGAGTGACATACACCCAGGAAATTACTCAGAAAACTCAGGTTGCACCTGGTAAACATCTCTCCCGTCATATTGCTCGAAGTGACAGAGCTTCTTTGAGAATTAGATCAATTATCAATACTCACGCCTTCAAAAAACGTCGGGCACAGAATAAAAAAATCCGTGGAGCGATACGTCATCGCAGAAAAACTACTGAGGGACTCGCATACAAGAGTAATTGTGGTTTACTTATGCAATCTGCTGTACCTGCATCAATCGAAGAAGAACCTAAGGATAATATTGACAATGATGATCACTGAATCATTTTATTCGACCTTGAGACATCAGGACATCAACGAGACTGCGATGTTTTGAAAATTCCTGCAAAATGTGGTCAACACGAATTTAGTATTTACGTTAAACCTAAGCAACAAATTGCGCCATGTGCAACTGCAGTGCATGGTTTACTCAATTGTAATGGAAGTCTCATGTTGCATGATAAAGTAGTAGAATTCTTACCAATACAAGATGCCCTGAAGATGTTTTTAAATTGGATTGAAGATCTTGGTAAAAAATGTTATTTTGCTGCCCATAATTTAAGATTTGATGGTCCAAGACTGGAACATATAGTACAATAAAAAAGTACAATCTCGGAGGGAAATTTTCTACATTGATAGAGAGTTTCCTCGATACCCTGCCAATTTTAAAGCAAATTAGTGGAAGTACAGGGAACGGTCAATGCTCCCTCGGCACACTAGCTGAATCATTGAATGTCGCTGTTGTGGGGGCGCATAATGCAATTTATGACTGTAAAATTCTATCAAAAGTGCTTAGAGGCTTCAATATTACAAAAGCTGATTTGATTATGTCTGCCACATTGTACGAGGACGAAGTTATGCACTGGAGCAACCAGAATAAAAACACGGAAAATTTGACGACCTTGAGGCCTCTGGAAAAATTTGTAAGTCCAGCAATTCGTAAAAAATTAGCTTCAGCTGGAATTACCATCCGAGATCTCAAGAGAATGTACGCTCACAATCGAATTGAAGAAGACTGTAAGGAATTCCGCAGGAATCCCTTATGTTTGTGAGTATGCGGGAGAACCGAGGGAGGCACCGCGGAAAATCGAAATTTATATTGGGAAATTAGGGTTGAAAGGATCGCGAATTGGGGTGGGTACGTTTTGGGTTTTGGTTGGAAGGCCCTGCGGGGATTGCCACGGTCGCACGCGACATAATTTTAAAAATACGTTTTAGGTTCCGTTTTCGCCCGTGATTAATTTTTTTTGGGTCTCGGTAAACCCTTACCGCGAGGAAAACCGAAAAAGACAGAGTGCCGGGAAAATCAGTCCTGCTTTACCGTTCGGGCGATCCGTCACTGCGCCATCTAGGCGCCTGGAGCGAAGCTCACACTCGGGGTTTCGCGTCGACCACCTGTTGCGCGTAGTCGAAGTTCTTGCACCGGTAAC